TTGGTTGTTAAACAAATTCTCTTTGTCAGCACCATAGGATATGCATAGAGAACAGTACGGAAAAAAGTATGCTGATGTTAGGATGCAAAGGGTTAAAACACTTGAATAATGTAAAAATTCTAAGACATCTTCATCATTAGGTTTAAAATCATCGCCAAGGCACTTGTCCAATGCCTCTCTATCTTCTGTAGTTACAAATTGGCTAAGTCTTCATATCAACGTCTATGTAGTGATAACTTCATCCCCATAAAGACACAAGGCCACAAAAAGATGTAACAAATTTACTAGGCAGTAATTGGCCCATTGGTAACCATATAGCAGAACCTAGGCAATGGCTTCCCACTATAGTTTCTGCATGTCATGCTCAATAAATGGGACTTTTTAATTGTTTCCAATCATCAGTGATGTGAAGCACTTTTGCCAAAGGCATGCTAAAACATTTAGAAGAACCTTGTTGCCTTCTCCCTTCTCTTCTCTACCAGCAGTGGCTATGTTTAGGTTATGGTGCTTCTTGGAATGTAGAAGGAGGGGGGAACAAAACATTTGTTAACACTAATCCTCAAACTGCGACGGGTGATTTTTTAATAAATTGTTTCACTTCAATATCAATCTCCTATGTAGAAAGCTTAACGGCCGATGATAAGGCATCACCCAAAGGCTGGTTTTCTTTTACAACGGAGTCGGAGTCGGAGTCGGAGTCGACTCCGATATTCAGTTTTCACTCGAAAAGAAGTGCTCTTACCACTTCGACTCCGTCATTAGTGAAAACCAGCCTCAAACAAATGGAGAGAAGGATATCCCGAAACGATTATTTCTTTTTTTCCATAGTTTAGTAATAAACTGTGGCAAGGACCGGGAGAGCATTTGCAATAAAATTCATCCAAGGTCAAACTTATACCCCATTCACACCAGCAAAACATGTTTTGTTAAACTGGTTTTCATTGAATGAAAATTATAAACAGAGAACTGAAAAACTTGATTTTCCATAGGATTCAAGTACTTGCTAACTTGCATTTCCAATGTGCTACATTCAAGTCAAAAATATTCGGTTAAATAGTTTCTATGAAGTAAAAAAAAATTAAACTGTGTTTAACAAAACAACTTTTAAACATGTTTAAGCTTTGGTGTGAATGGGGCATTAGTGCAATCCATCGAGCAACATCTACATTTCGTTAGTTTCCAATCAATTTGGCCATTTGTTAAATAAAAATATTATTTACGTTCAATTGTACGGATATTTGAATAAGAAAAAAAAGCGCAAAGCTAAATGCAAAAGAGAATCTCTATGAAGAAAAGAACTTTTTGTGTATTTATGATTGCTAGATTATTTCTCTTTTCTTCTCACGAACGCCATTTTTTCCTTTTTCATATTGGAGGGTAGGCGAAAATTTGCAAAATACACAAAAGTTGAAACCCAACGACAAACCTGGAAGGGGAGAGACTTACAGAAATCTTGGCATTGTCCATCAAAATTCAAGCGATTCTCATGAGGCCATTGAGTACCATGAGTGCCATCTGCAAACTACAAAAGAAGGGGGGGATAAAGCTGGACAAGAACGGGCTTATGGAAATCTTGGCAATGACTTTAAAGGATTAGACGATTTTCATAAGGCAATCGAGTGCTATGAATGTCATCCACAAACTGCAAGAGAATTGGAAGGCAAAGCTAGAGAAGGACGGGCTTATGGAAAACTTGGCATTTCCTATGAGAGTTTACGCGATTATCATAAGGCAGTCGAGAACCATGAGCGTCATCTACAAGTTGCAAAACAAGTGGGAGACAAAGCTGAAGAAGGACGGGCTTATGGAAATCTTGGCAATGCCTATCAGATGTTAGGCGATTTTCATAAGGCTATCAGTTACCACGAGCGTCGTCTACAAATTGCAAAAGAAGTGGGAGACAAAGCTGGAGAAAGAGGGGCTTATGGAAATCTTGGCAATGCCTATCATAGCTTAGGCGATTTTCATAAGGCTACCAGTTACCACGAACGTCATCTACAAATTGCAAAAGAAGTGGGAGACAAAGCTGGAGAAGGACGGGCTTATGGAAATCTTGGCAATGCCTATCATGGCTTAGGCGATTTTCATAAGTCTATCAGTTACCACGAGCGTCGTCTACAAATTGCAAAACAAGTAGGAGACAAGGCTGGAGAAGGAGGGGCTTATGGAAATCTTGGCAATGCCTATCAAATGTTAGGCGATTTTCATAAGGCTATCAGTTACCACGAGCGTGATCTACAAATTGCAAAAGAAGTGGGAGACAAAGCTGGAGAAGGAGGGGCTTATGGAAATCTTGGCAATGCCTATCAAATGTTAGGCGATTTTCATAAGGCTATCAGTTACCACGAGCGTCATCTACAAATTGCAAAAGAAGTGGGAGACAAAGCTGGAGAAGGACGGGCTTATGGAAATCTTGGCAATGCCTTTGATAGCTTAGGCGATTTTCATAAGGCTATCAGTTACCACGAGCGTCATCTACAAATTGTAAGAGAAGTGGGAGACAAGGCTGGAGAAGGAGGGGCTTATGGAAATCTTGGCAATGCCTTTGGTAGCTTAGGCGATTTTCATAAGGCTATCAGTTACCACGAGCGTCATCTACAAATTGCAAAAGAGGTGGGAGACAAAGCTGGAGAAGGAGGGGTTTATGGAAATCTTGGCAATGCCTATCGTAGCTTAGGCGATTTTCATAAGGCTATCAGTTACCACGAGCGTGATCTACAAATTGCAAAAGAAGTGGGAGACAAAGCTGGAGAAGGAGGGGCTTATGGAAATCTTGGCAATGCCTATCATAGCTTAGGCGATTTTCATAAGGCTATCAGTTACCACGAGCGTCGTCTACAAATTGTAAAAGAAGTGGGAGACAAAGCTGGAGAAGGACAGGCTTATGGAAATCTTGGCATCGACTATAAGAGGTTAGGGGATTTTCATAAAGCTATCAGTTACCACGAGCGTTGTCTACAAATTGGAAAAGAAGTGGGAGACAAAGCTGGAGAAGGACGGGCTTATGGAAATCTTGGCAATGCCTATCATGGCTTAGGCGACTTTCATAAGGCTATCAGTTACCACGAGCGTCGTCTACAAATTGCAAAAGAAGTGGGAGACAAAGCTGGAGAAGGACAGGCTTATGGAAATCTTGGCAATGCCTATCATGGCTTAGGCGATTTTCATAAGGCTATCAGTTACCACGAGCGTCATCTTCAAATTGCAAAAGAAGTGGGAGACAAAGCTGGAGTAGCAGTGGCTTATGGAAATCTTGGCAATGCCTATCAGATGTTAGGCGACTTTCATAAGGCTATCAGTTACCACAAGCGTGATCAACAAATTGTAAAAGAAGTGGGAGACAAAGCTGGAGAAGGACGGGCTTATGGAAATCTTGGCAATGCCTATCAAAGCTTAAGCGATTTTCATAAGGCTATCAGTTACCACGAGCGTCATCTACAAATTGCAAAAGAAGTGGGAGACAAAGCTGGAGCAGCAGTGGCTTATGGAAATCTTGGCAATGCCTATCAGATGTTAGGCGATTTTCATAAGGCTATCAGTTACCACGAGCGTGATCAACAAATTGTAAAAGAAGTGGGAGACAAAGCTGGAGAAGGACGGGCTTATGGAAATCTTGGCATTGCCTATCATGGCTTAGGCGATTTTCATAAGTCTATCAGTTGCCACGAGCGTCGTCTACAAATTGCAAAAGAAGTGGGAGACAAAGCTGGAGAAGGAGGGGCTTATGGAAATCTTGGCAATGCCTATCAAATGTTAGGCGATTTTCATAAGGCTATCAGTTACCACGAGCGTCGTCTACAAATTGCAAAAGAAGTGAGAGACAAAGCTGGAGAAGGAGGGGTTTATGGAAATCTTGGCAATGCCTATCAGATGTTAGGCGATTTTCATAAGGCTATCAGTTACCACGAGCGTCGACTACAAATTGCAAAAGAAGTGGGAGACAAGGCTGGAGAAGGAAGGGCTTATGGAAATCTTGGCAATGCCTATCAAATGTTAGGCGATTTTCATAAGGCTATCAGTTACCACGAGCGTGATCTACAAATTGCAAAAGAAGTGGGAGACAAAGCTGGAGAAGGAGGGGCTTATGGAAATCTTGGCAATGCCTTTGATAGCTTAGGCGATTTTCATAAGGCTATCAGTTACCACGAGCGTCATCTACAAATTGCAAAAGAAGTGGGAGACAAAGCTGGAGAAGGACGGGCTTATGGAAATCTTGGCAATGCCTATCATGGCTTAGGCGATTTTCATAAGTCTATCAGTTACCACGAACGTGATCTACAAATTGCAAAAGAAGTGGGAGACAAAGCTGGAGAAGGAGGGGCTTATGGAAATCTTGGCAATGCCTTTGATAGCTTAGGCGATTTTCATAAGGCTATCAGTTACCACGAGCGTCATCTACAAATTGCAAAAGAAGTGGGAGACAAAGCTGGAGAAGGAGGGGTTTTTGGAAATCTTGGCAATGCCTATCGTAGCTTAGGCGATTTTCATAAGGCTATCAGTTACCACGAGCGTCATCTCCAAATTGCAAAAGAAGTGGGAGACAAAGCTGGAGAAGGATGGGCTTATGGAAATCTTGGCAATGCCTATCATGGCTTAGGCGATTTTCATAAGGCTATCAGTTACCACGAGCGTCGTCTACAAATTGCAAAAAAAGAAGTGGGAGACAAAGCTGGAGAAGGAGGGGCTTATGGGAATCTTGGCAATGCCTATCAGATGTTAGGCGATTTTCATAAGGCTATCAGTTACCACGAGCGTCATCTACAAAAAGCAAAAGAAGTGGGGATAAAGCTGGAGAAGGACGGGCTTATGGAAATCTTTGCAATGCCTATCATGGCTTAGGCGATTTTCATAAGGCTAACAGTTACCACGAGCGTCATCTACAAATTGCAAAACAAGTGGGGATAAAGCTGGAGAGAGACGGGCTTATGGAAGTCTTGGCAATGCCTTTCATAGCTTAGGCAACTTTCGTAAGGCAATGGAGTACCGTGAGCGTCATCTACAAATTGCAAAAAGAAGTGGGGACAAGGCTGGAGAAGGAGAGTCATACGGTAATCTTATCTTATACTCTTAATCAATGCATATCCGAGCTTTCGCGATTTTCATGTCTCCAGCCTAAAATTGTCCTGGCAAAATCAAAGGATAAAAGTTTGTTTGAGTGTTACATCTACATTATAAATTTCAAAGTTGAAATATTCTCTTACAGCTCGACCTAATCTGCCAAAGGATTCCACCTCCAATTTCTAGGATTTTTCAAAGCCGTTTTAAAATTTTAGAATCCCAGAGTTTTGCAACAAAAGAGAATTTTTGCCTCTCTAGTAAACTGATTTCAGTTCAGCTACACGCTGTTCGTAGATTTTGCGATAATTAATCGGCAAGTTTATCACGGTCTTGCTTACTTAATTAATTTTGTCCAGATTTTACTTGGGACACATTTGTCGGCGATGTGTTTCACGATTTGTCGGCTTTGGCCAAAATTTGTCAAAATTTAGTGATGACGAAAAAATTGTTTTAAATAAACAACTTTTTCGTTAGTGCGGGAAGACCCCATGTTGAACAATTTTGGTTGAACAGATATTGGGAATTAAGTGGTAGTAAATGTCCGTTATATTGTATACTGAGACCAAACACCTCAAAATAATAATTTCCCCAGCCAAAGAGGAGGATGAGGTACCTTATTACACCGGCAGGAAAGATTTGGCAGATATAGAAGATGCAAAAGTAGACACTGAAGACAATGAAAAGACTTTGATCAAAAGGTATGGGTTTTTCTGCAATGACTCAGTTTTTTGCCTTTCCCATGTTTTTTTTTCTCATGGATGCACAGACCATTGTAAAGAGCAGGGTTGGAGTTGCTAGGAGGTGTTAACTAATGGCAACTTTTGACAAAGTGCTCTGACTAAAGAACAACCCTCCGGACCTCTTTATAAATGACAGTTACTTTCTTTTATTTTCTTTTCTTTTCAATCTTTAGTTAATAAAGTTCATGCTTAATAACTGTAATGCTATTAAAAATTTATTACATTCGTGCTCAAATCACTGGTGATCCTTGCAACCTGATTGGTTCTCATTGGCACGATTTATTGATAAAATGCACTATTTTTTGCTCTAAAGTGCATCGATTTCCCAGCTAATGAGAAAGCTCCACGAAAGTACAGCAACAAATTAGATTTAACCGATTGTTTTAGGAAATCAATCAAATTGCAGAAAAAAAGAAAGACAACTTTTATAACATTTTACACACCAGCTCAGTACTGGATAAATAACATACATGTATTTGTACCGGCTTTAAAAAAAATCTTTATTCATTTAGCAACTGAATTTTGCAAATTTAAAATAAATGTAATGAAGTGGTAATTGAACTTTTGCCATGCACTTTTGGTCTGAAATCATACTGGTGATTTCAAGTCTAATGCTGCTGCACAATCCTTTGATTCAGATGTCACGCGTATGATTTCAGAACAAAGTTTACTCCACCAAGTTCAATTACCATGTTCTACAGGTATTCCATAATTTTTTCAGTGTTTCCATCAATAAAGGGGTACTTAATTATTAACAAAAATGATGGTGAATCATTTAAATAAATGTTTTGATTTATGATTATAACTTGAGGCTATTTGAGTCAAGGAAAAGCAAACTAATGGAAAAGAAAAGAAAAATAAAGAAAAATAACATTTATTAGATCTAGTTTTGAAATTAAGTGTCAATATCTAAATGAGTTTTTCAAACTGCCAGTTTGCCACTTGCATTTTAAATACCTTTGTTATTGCTTACTCCACTTGGGAAAAATATCTTAAAATGCTGGATAATTAATTTCCTCTGTATTTCAGAGGAAAAATCGGAGGTAAGGAAGACTCATGGCACCTGAGGGAAGCTGGTGCCTCTATCAAACTTTGCAGTGGAGCTGTACAACAACCTGTGCCATTTGCATGTAGATGCTTATTGTGGAACCCCAGGACCCTCTCCCCCTCCACTGCCAGTGATGAGATATTGGTTAGCAGTGTTATTGAAATATCTCATGATGGCCCACCAGATCTGGATTACAAGAAAAGTTTTGAAGGAATAAGTTTTACTGTATCTTTGATGCACAATGCCCCATATTTGGAGGGGTATGAGGTGGTTATCAAGCAACTGACTGACAAAGAGAACAATGAATGGAAGGAATTAAAGACAGAGAATACTTGGCATGGATCAGGTAACGTTATGTTTTTATTAAATACAGGTGTGAATAACTTAATAATAACTTAATGAATGATCATGATATTCCTAGGCTCCCTTTTTCACTGGCATCAATGTCAGCATTTGAGAAATGTGCAGCTCCCCCTCTCCTAACCCAAAATTAAACCCAACTTGTAACCCGAACTTATCAGTTGACTTAAGGGAGAAGGAGTAGGTGTGCAATGACTTAGATGCGGACATCTATCCCTGCAATGCATGACCTGCTGCACTCATAATGTCAAAGTAGACTTCTTGCTTCTTCACAGGCATTTCAAATCCAACTTTAGAACTTTTTTTTCGTTTACCCTTTAGGTGTATCCAAGCAGTACGTGTAATTATTGCACAAATGTTACATGAAGTCTCCAATGCATTTTAATCACTATAATATAAATTTTCCTCAATAACCATGTTGTTGCAAACTTTATTCTTTGAAGCATAAATATCATAATGACATCTGTTGGGGGTAACTTTATTGTTTGAAGACTTCAAAACACAGCTGAAGGATGCATTTCCAATCATTTATTTTTATATGCAGAAACTTCAACATTTCCCAAGTGGCTTTTCCCATTTGCACAAGCTGTTTGTACAAAATCAGCAGTTTCTTCATTTGCTGCAGTCTGGCGTCCTAAGTCTTTCACCTTTTCAAGAGGTACTGCAGGAGGCCCGGAATTGACCTGTATTGTGCCTGACCTTCCTGATGTCAGTGTCCAAATTCCTCAGAGTTGTTTTCCTGTTTATCAAGATTTCTGTGTGACAATAAAGGTGCATGGAACTATAAAATTATATACATGCATGAGTCCTGCAACTTTTTCATTTTCCAGTTTTGAAAGCCATAGGATTGGCGTGAGGGGATTGTCAAAAGCAAAGAGATAAAAAAAAGGTGTTGCAATAGTATAACCTGTACCCTCAGTTACTTGCCATACACTCCATGAACTTCGTGGCAATATTCATGGAAAGAGAGATATTAATTAACAACTTTAAGCTAAAATAGAGGACAGTTGGGCTTGTGCTTGCATGTGTGTGAAGATACATGTGACAAAGTTATAATCAGCAGTTTTGGTAACTTCGAATTATTTGTGGTACTACTGTCCCCATGTGTACTCATGGATCCTGGGCATTCCCTTTTTAAAACTAGGTTTTGGAAAACTCATTCTAAGCAACAAACAGACTTTTGCTTCGATTTAAATGTCAAATTGAAGTCATTCCTGTCAGGTAAATTGGTTTGTATTGGTTTGCAATTAATGCAATTAGTGGATGAAGTTATGCATGATATCATGATGAATTAGCAAAACCAAGGTCTGAGTTATCTACGTAAGCCGAAGACAACACAGAGATAAAATTTGGTGAGTTATGACATCATGCAAAAACCAAATTAAATTATTGTTTTATTATACATTTTTTAAACAAATTACGAAAGAAGACATCTCTTCAAATTTGCAAAAGTTTAAGAATACTTCACAGACAGTCAGGGCTTGGAAACTAGGCAGAGGTTGAACTCGACATGATAACTGCAATATCTGCGGTAGATATTGGGTTATATGTAAACTTCACTCTTTACTGTATATTGATTGAGTGCTCTTGACCAATCAGACTTTTTATATTAAGTCCAGTGTATACATTTTTTCATAATAATGCTTATATTACTACATAAAACTTTGAAAGGACATTTACATTGTGTACTATAATTTTAGATAATTTCAAAATTTCATCCTGAAATTCACTTTCCACAATGTAAAGCAAATTATCTTTATGCTGGGAGTGGTTTAACATTCCCAACAACTTGTTTTGCTTTTAAATCCAGGTACAAGAATTCCCAAGCAGTGAGCTAAAAGGAGAGGGAGGACTTGTCGGTCCAATTATTTACATTTCAGGCTCTCAAAATGTTAGTCTCGTCGCGCCTGTAACAATAAGGATTCCTCTCACCTTCCGTAAAGAAAAACAAGAGTTGGCAGAGCTACGTCCCGGTGAACTGAGGATATTGCAATGTGAAGCACATGACTGGCAAGACATTACAGATCAATTAGATGAACCGCCACGTCTTGTAGATGGGAAAGTGCAATTTAAAGTTAGGCATTTCTCTGGGTAAGTATTTCTCGTCGGCTTTATTTGAAAAGTAATACGCATGACGTAGAGGAAATTCAAACGTACTTTGGTGTACAGTCACACATACATGGATTTCTTTTAGTTAACTATAGATTCAATAATTGAAATGACCACTCGAGTAAGTATATACTCAAGATTACTGTGCAATGGCTGATAATCGTTTCCATTGGATTGCTTGGGCTGTGTTTGATTTTTCCTTTTCTTTTTCGATAGATTCCGTCCAATCAAGTTGATGAGATCACTTTTACAATCTACTTCGGGCTTCACTGAGTTTGTAGGAAAACTTTGCTATAGGTCTAGGCCTCAGCATGCCCGATTTTTTACTTGCTTGTGTGAGACCGGTGTTCGTGGACATTTTAAACTCAAACTTTTTTGCTATCCTCAAAGACTGTATTATGATGTAATACGGAAAATATCGGAATGTGTCGTACCCTACAAAGACGAAGGCTGCTCTTCTAAACCAGTCTGTGGAGAGGAGAAAATTTTGGTGTCTCTTTCCGAGGCTATCATACCCCAGGGCACAGATCAGAAAAATGCCCTGCAGTTTGTGAGGTATAATATAATACCATTTATTTCTGGCCCATCAAGTACATATGATTTAATTGAATACTTCTAGGTTACGTCATGCTAGTTTTACATAGAAATGATTTATTCCTTCCATTGTAAAATTGTACATTGTTCAACTGTCAGTGAACCATTTTTCGCCATGGCTTTTCTAGGTTTCTTATCAATCAATAGGGCCATGGAGATATACATGTTGGTTTTGTTTCGGCTTTATTGTCTTCAAATGCTCGTTTTTAAATATTCAGTAGGGCTCTCGTTAAATGTGCTGTCATTTTCGGTTGTAAGAAAAGATTTCAAAACGTGTGCTTTTCTAGACGAAGACTCGGCTGGTGTACGTTAGGTTTGCCTCATTTGAATTCATTTCATTTTTAACAGATTCCACGAGAACAAAGTTTATTACACAGGTGGTGAAGTTTGCTTAGGAAGTGAGAGTGTTCCAGGAGTGAAGTTTTGCGACCAAAATCAGGAACTTTTGTGCAACATTATCATGGTATTAGCGTCTCAAGTAGGTGACATCTTACGGTTTGTGGATTTGCTAATTAAATGCATTTTTAGCCCAGAGCTAATATAGTACTGATGCCAACCTTACTACAGTAGATGACAATTAATTAAAAGGATTAGCAATGCTTTAACCACAGGCAGCCCAAGCTCCAGTTGTTAGATGATCATCTTGCGAAATAAGAGTCATGGCGAAAATTTTAGTTTATATTGGAATAATTACGACCGCTCTTAGGAAGTAAAAATACAGTCAAATTCTCAATAGAAATATCTCACCTTACTTCCAAAGTGCATTGCCTGTGGTCAGACCGCTTACTAAGATGAAAAGAAGCCATTTTAGCAAGTTCTCCATTTTTAGGTTTCTTTCTCCTAGGAGTAGTAAAGCTAGTTTCCGAGTAAGATAATGAGGACATTTAAGGCGGCATGAAATTTATTAAGGACGAATCACTGGAAACAAAACATTGAGAAACGTCGAATAGGTAAAGAAATGTCCTGCCCACAGGAAACAGTAAATGAACATGCAGGACCTTGCAAATTTTTGATTTTGTGTATTACTTTTATTTTTTCAGTTGCTTTAAAGTCACTTTCTATGCCTCTGCCTTTTTTCTTAATTATTTTTCCTTTTTCCCATTAATTAGTAATTTTGTTTATTTCCTCATTTCTATTCACCTCATACACACCCGTAATATTGCAAATTTTCCCTCCTCCATTTAGGTTTCTATTCCTGTCACCCCTGACTTTGAAGAAGGAAGTGGTAAGTTGTTGTTTTTGATGTAGGTTTCGTTGTTGTTCGAATAAATACAATTTACTAGACCAGTCATATTGTTCTAAAATATGTGGTTCGAATCAATACAATTTAATAGACCAGTCATCTTCTAAAATATTTAAATTCAGAAATGTAGGTTCTCTGGGTTTTGAAAATGTAGCTTTTAGTGACAAATCACGTGTTCTCAACGGAAAGTCATAGTAACCTTCCTTACTTCATGTGTTAATAAATCGGGCCGTGCCCCCTCACGCTCAACAGTGATAGCTTATTGTCTCTGTTATGCATCAGTAAACTCAATGCAGACTACGGTGCGTACGTCCCTCCTTGCAGGGAATTTGATGCTGAAAACGAATAAAGTACAAAACAGCTAGAGAAAGACACAAAGAAGTGTAATTCCCCAAAAAATCATTCCATTTGCTATATCGTTAAAATAATGGAGTAACTTTGCAACCTGCTATTGCTTTTCGAATGAAATCTTGAATCGAATATGTTTCTATATAACAGCCCCCTTCGTCAAATTTGTCAATGGTCGATGTTTCTTATAGGAGAAATCGACAAAACTTACAACTTTAATTTGTGAACGCTGGGTCTAACCCGGATGATCCCAGTCCAGGATCACCACATCAACGTTTCCGAACCATATGCGCCATAAAACTTGCATTAGTTCTCAATCCAGCCAACTCATTAACCCCATTATTCTGCAGGTATTTCCTCCCAAAGTGTGAAACATTCAGTTGTAAAGCGTCCAAATTCAGAATCATTGTCATGCAGCCCTGTTGCAACTCCTAGGAAGAAGATACACCAATCTGCAGGTAGTACCGAGATTGAAAATGTCGCGATGGATTTTCCTTTTTAATTGTATGTTTTTCAAGTTTGCATGTTGTTGTTACGCGTTTATGCATGGTAAAATTTGTTTATGCAGAGAGACTGGCATTATATTTATCAGACATCCTCTTTACCCACTTATATAAGAGAATAAAAATTAAGGAATTAAAAGTGGGCTCTATCATTAATCCAACACCCTTGTATCTTGAACAACTATAACTTATTCCAGCATTAACGGCTGGAGACTACAGCTGGGAGACGTTAATTTTTTTTTTGTCTATGTATGGATTGGGGAAATGGTTCCCCTGCCGCTGCAAATGTCTCCTCGCCCAAGCTTGACAATCTCTAGGCAGACGATTCGGTATTGAATGATACCAAAAAATGAGAAGTCGCCTTTCGCCACAACTGTTCGCCATTCGCCAAAGCCTTGAAGCATCCCTTTTCTAATTTTTTATTCTCCCTCTGTTGTTATCCTCAGGTATCTATTTGGTCAAAGATGGTAAACCATCAGATGACAAGTTGCAATATCTGTCAAAGGAACTTGCAGGAAAATGGAAGACATTAGGAAGACGCCTGGGATTCAACGAAGCTGCGATAGATAACTTTGATCAAGCTAATAAGGAGCTGAAAGAGAAGGCTTATAAAATGTTAATGGCTTGGAGTCAAAAAGTAGGCCACGAAGCCACTAACAAAGTTTTGTACGATGCCTTGTGTCACGAATTGGTGGAATGTAAACTTCTAGCAGAGCGGTATTGTTGCGATGAGATTTTAGGAAATGCCTCTCCTTAGTCATATACTATAGAGACTGAGTCGTTTCTGTATTACGTCAAATATCTTTGTGAGTACTCTAAAGAGCGTCCGTGTCGAGCATTCGCGCCTAGTAAGTCGTTCGTTTTCCTCTCGATTTAACATGGGAGAAAAATTATCTCTAAAGAAAACATATTTACTTGTAATTTTGCACTCAAGAACCGCTAGCTAAATAATGCTAAGGTCGGAATTCACTCAGACGTCCAGAACGGTATCCGGTCGTTTCGCCTACGGGTCGTTTCGCCTACGGTCTGTTCGCCTACGGTTAGAGTCGATTCGCCTACGTCTTATATGTCAGTTCGCCTACGAGTCAGATGTTGAAGCTTTAAATCGGAATTATTAAAAGTCTTTGTTCCTTGTATTTTTCCTTCCATTCTATCCTCGATGGCTAGAAAAACAACGCGCTAAAACATCTAAGTTCGTTTTTAAAAACTTTATTATGGCGGAACCCGGTCGTCTACGAATGTGTGAAAGATATTTTGCTTAAAATGATTTAAGAAACGTGCGATTGTAAAACTGAGCATTAAGATGTGTATTAAAATGAAATTAACCACCGTTTACGGTCTTTGTGTGGTCGTGTAAAGCGCGAGCAGAGCAGTAAACAAACCACTGTTTACGGTCTTTGTGTAGACTTGTGAAGCGTGAGCGGCGCCTAAACTAAAGAAGGTGAGACTTTTCATTAACATATACGAAATTAGCTTCGGCTTGACCTGACAGTCGGTTCAATTTCTGCGTCGATTTGGCGGGCGACTCGTTGAATCTTTTATCTCAAAAAACTAGTTTATGTATGTAATGTGTCCGGGTATTCTGAGTTACTCCGTTTGCGTACTTTCATCTAACAGACAAATAATATAAAAACTTAAAGCCTCCTTTGTGTAGACTTGTGACTTGAGCGGCGCTCATACAAAGGGAGGTGAGAGTTTTCATTAGCATACATAGTACTTGCCACAAAATTAGCTTGTTCACACTTCACAGGTTGATGTAACTTTTTATTTCGATGTTGCGGCTTGTTAAATCGGTAATCATATTCATATACTTCGGACTAAGTAAGATAAATAAACGTTCGTGTTCACGTTTGGACTTGGTTCAAATAACCAAGGTTTAGATTAAAGTAACAACCTACACAAAAGGTGGGAAAAAAACACGGAAATTTTCAGGTAAACGAACGCTCCTTATTTACAATTATTTAACTTCGATAGGCTTGACTTTATGAGTCACGCTCTAGGAATTGAATCGACCGACTAGGATCCGAGCGCGATCGCACATAAAGTAGATGAATCAACTGTTGTAACACATGTTTTAACACGTAGGCGAACTGACATATGAGACGTAGGCGAATCGACTCTAACCGTAGGCGAACAGACCGTAGGCGAAACGACCCGTAGGCGAAACGACCGTAATTCTCCAGAACGAGAGCTGAATAACGCCTGCGCATGCGCCACGCTTTGGCGCGGAAAACGAATTTTGAGTCGTTTGCACGTTCGATTTTCTATGCTATAGATTCTAGGCGTTTTTTCCTTGCTGCTTTTTTTTTTTTACAGAATAACTTCCAGAATAACTTCCAAAAACTTTGTACACCCCCTAGATATTTTCAAGATTTAATTTTCTTCTTAAAAACATTGGAAATAGGAAAATGCCTTCAAGGACAACAAAATGCCTTGGTTTTAAATGCCAACCCTATTTTTCGCCGCAAATTTCGCTGAATTTTAACCTCGAGTGCTTGAGCCCGTGTTATTGGCCGTATAGCTGTGACGTAGCATTTTCTTATTTAGCTCTGTCGTCAAGAGCATGTGAAGCACATTACTACCCTCAAGCATCTTATTTCATACTTCACAGCTTGACATTAGAATACATTTTCTCCTTATTATCCTCTGTACATTTCCAAAGGAATAGACATAGAGAATTGGTTTAACAATTTTAGAGCTTCTTAAGTTAGTGATCAGTTACTATATTCTCGTGTTCTTAATTTTTGATTTAGGTTGACACTGTAAGGAAAAATTAGATGCTAGACACTATTTGAGTTGAATTAATCGTTTGTGGTTAGCTTGAATTAACAGCGTAATTTTGTATAGAGTGAGATTCCCCTAGTCTCAGTGTGGTGGATAAGTATAAAACGTGTAACGGCCTTAGATTATAAAATTTGTAGATGCTGAGCTACCTTTTTGTTCTTAAAAAGTGTGAAAGTTCAGAAAAAATCAAATACAAAATGTCTCTTTCTTAGGCTTAACTCCCATGATTCTTTGTGGTTTATAGAGGTTTCGACCCATTGAAAGTTCAACGACAAGTTCACCCCTGCTTCGACAAGTGGTCCCTGTCAAATATAATATAGATTTATATAGCCAACCCTAAAAGCGGAGTTCCAGTCAGTTTATTTTCCAGCCCTTCAACTTCTAAAAATTCCTATGCACTGGCTCTCGAAGAGTTAACGAGATGTGGAACGGAAGGAAGATATTCTCATAACTTGCAAATGATCAGCATATCAACATGCGTGCTAGTCAGCGGTATTTTCAAGCAGCTGAAGACTTTCGTTGACGTTCCTTATTGTTTGAACGGATTGTCAAGAATATAGAATGTTTTCTTCCCTAGATGTCTGTATCGGTTGAAATGATATTTTACTGCCCGTGTTTGTTAATTTTGGTTTAGACAGAATGAAACGACGTTAAACGACTTCGAGTTAAGATCTAGATATCACCGGTCCATTAAAGGGTTTACACGCGGGATCAGTAGTCACTGAAACAATGTGCCAGAATCGTTTTTAGCATCTCTTATACCTTCTCCTAATGTTGCCATTTATGACTGTTTACTTCAAAGGTTTTTTCTCTAAACTGTCAAACTCCTCTGATAAGCGTAGAAAATTGGAAAGAAAAGTCACATTTCAACTCGAGTCGATGTTTAAACTCTCTTCTATCAACTGCTCTGGCTGGAAAGACCGATGCTGTAATTGCATATCAATGTACATGTCTTTAAACCAACTATCCTCTATCCTGGCAACCCTAGCTACTGAAATTCTAAATTTGTCTACCATCTGGTTCTTACGCTGCGAAAGTTAGATTTCAATGAAGACAGGCTAGAGCTAGAATATCTTTGTGCATAAGAGAAACTAATCCAAAGATCAATCAAGTTTTATATTTAGTTTTAAAGTTGAGTCGATGTTGTTATTGACCCATGAAAGAGATTCTGATATGGTAGCCTCTATGAAATTCTGTCTTGGAAACTGGAGTTGTGGCAACATCACGGTTACCATGAAAAACAACAATACATTTTATTGATCTGAAAAAGTATTCATTTGACCATCAACTAAGACTTTCACTGGTTCACTCTGACAAAATTTTAACATAAGAGGTTTTAAAAGGCTTGAGTATTTGTTAAAATTGGCCAACTTGATGCAACAACTCAGGATATACATTGAATGCACACTTTTTTAAACATTTTTTCATTAGTGCAGTTACCTGCTGGCAAAACATTATGATATATTTCAACCCAACCATTTTCTTATGAACACCATTATCAAATAATTATGCAGGTACCCTGGCTAAATAGAAAAATGTGTAGTATATACAAAATGTTTTAAATGCCACATTTAAACTAAGCGAACGGCATTGAGAAGGGTGTATAAGGGAACAGGGTCGCTTATTTCTGTCATTCAATTGCTTCTCACACCTGTTGCGGACTAGTTTATGAGGCTGGGCTGTCAGGGCGAGCAAGCCATTAGATTTAAGGGAAATGTTAATTAGGAAAGTGATTATTTTAGAGCCTGGAAAATATCATTGTGTAAAGCCATACAGGTACTAGCAAACTCATTCTTTTAAACTAGTACGAGGAAGGATACAATATTTTACTTCACAGATTTGATTCACAGGCTGTGCACAAAAATTTAATTGGGCTATTAGAACTTAAATCCCTAAGGAATGATAAAACGTAGCCGGGTTAACACTGAAGTCGCCTCTAGCGCTCAAGTCGTTGTTTTCAAATGTCGGTTTTTTTTGCGAATACAACGTGTATGGTAGAAAGACAATGGCTCCAAGAAGCCGAATTAAGTACAAAGATAATAGATTGAAAATGATTGAGATCGTTGCAAAGATGCTTGCGGCAAGGATGCGTTATTTCCAGAAACAGAAGAAAAGGTCGGAGTTGCCCCAGATGGCCAATACTGAGACAGGCTTAAACATGGCTAGAAATCGAGGTCAGTCGGCGGCTGATGTCGCGGACGCAACACGAGCTGCGTTTCACCTTACTGCGTCTGCGCATCCCACTAAAATCAAACATTAAAAGATGTCGGAAATTACCTTTTACAAAGCCATTGCCATAGGTGTGATTTCTATAATTTTTCTGTGTCTTGATAAAATCATGCCACAATTTCAGCAAAGAGTAGGGTACGTCCACAGCTAAGATGATATTCCTTGTCGCTGTCTTGACAGCATAGGCTAAAGAGGGACTTTCAATCCCCAACTTCCATTTTAAAAATGAATCAAATGGAGGTGTATCAGACATTTTGCAGCGCTGATAACTTCTTTATTATTTTCTTTCCGAGGTATTGCTTGAGAAGCTGTTAAAATCTTGTCCAAGTAAGAAGCTTACTATTTTGTTTTTCAAGTCAAATTATTTTCGCGCCAATGCTGCAATCTGTGTCAATCTTTGAGCCTTCAGTAGCTGCCCTGTAGCGGTATTATCCATAACAGGCTAGGTTACCATGTTTTTACAAAATGGCGATCGAAGAGTTCTTTGATATGTTTTCAGATCATATAATTTTAGTTTTTGAGTCAACGTCTCTACTGGGAACAAGAACCATAAGAAAAAAATTTTTTTGGACCTTTGGAAGTCGTTTGGCAGCATGGATTCACACTTTTATGACTTCAAATAGCCTTCAATTAGAAGGTCGGCATTCGAAGAGATCGAGCAAACGTGGGCAATTGATAAAACAACCCTTGTTGTGGCTGCAGGAGAAGCTTTAGCTGACCAACATAAGCCATTTTAAGACACTT